CAAGACTCGGAATGCAAATCCAAGCAAAAATAACATCAACATGGAACTGACATTCTTTGATCTGGAAACCATAATAGCTGCAACAGATAATTTTTCTCCAGTTAGAAAGCTTGGACAAGGAGGATTTGGCCCAGTTTATAAGGTAATTGAACTCTAATTATCCAACAGCAATGTTTGCATAACATTATGTGATAGGGGTACTGAGTATCCAACTGAGCTCATTTTTTTGTGTATCTGCTATAGCCTATAGTGTTAATTCGTTCCCCATTTTTCACACCTTGTTATGCAGGAAGGGAAAGGGGTTAAGCAAGTCATTTTTATGATTAGAGAAGTTTTGGAGTCTTAATTTTCCTACAAGCATGAGCTTTAAAGCATATGTTGTCTTGTTTCAACAGCATATTGTTTAGCGGAGATGTAAAACATTTAACTTAGATGATAAATTTAATTTCATGAAAATTTCAGGGTCAACTTTGCAACGGACAGGAGATAGCTATCAAAAGGTTGTCAAAGAACTTTGGACAAGGCATGGTTGAATTCAAAAATGAAGTTTTATTGATTGCAAAACTTCAACACAGGAATCTGGTCAGGCTTATTGGTTGTTGCATTGAAGAGGAGAAAAGGATGTTGATATTTGAATACATGCCAAATAGAAGCTTGGACTATTTTATATATGGTATGACTTCTAAACTGTCTTGTTTTTGCACAAATCTCCTTATATGTGAGATTGAAAGCAGATCAATCCAAAAAGGAGATGCTGAATTAGGTAAAGTACTTCAAAATTATTGAGGGCATTGCTCGGGCATCCTTTACCTTCATCGAGACTCTAGGTTAAGAAATATCCACAGATTTGAAGACAAGCAATATTCTTCTAGATGAAGATATGAATCCTATAATTTCTGATTTTGGAACAGCAAGGATATTTGGAGGAAATCAAAGTTGTGTAAACATGGTCAGGGTAGTAGGGACATTGTAAGTGCATAACTCATCCCCATACTTCAGTCACGCTTCATTTACAACTGACATTATGTTTGTTAAGAAATATGCAAGTTTTTATAGTCTTTTCAATGCTTTGTGCAACAGCGGGTATATGTCACTATAGTATGCACTAGATGGGCTTTTCTCGATGAAATTTGATGTCTATGGTTTTGGAGTCATACTAATAGAAATCATCAGTGGCCAAAAGAATTTTGGATTCTTTCAAGATGATCCTTGCTGTAATTTGATAGCACATGTCAGTAAAACTCTCGAGTATATTTCTTGTTCCAATCCTGCTTTTATTTGATTTTCACAAGAAATCTATGAACTCTTCTCAGGTATGGAAACTGTGGGAAATGACAAGGCCTTGGAGGCAGTTGACTCATTTATCAAGGATTCATGTCCTATTCTTGGAGTTTTGCGGTGCATTCATCTAGGACTCTTGTGCGTGCAAGACAGTGCAGAAAACAGGCCAACAATGTCAAATGTTATCTTCATGCTAAGCAATGAAACAACTCCCCGTCTCAAAAACAACCCACTTTTGCTATTAATAGGAGAAGGTGCTATGTTGATCCCATCTCAGTTACGACAGAAACAAATACTTCCTCAGTAAATAAGGTGACTCTTACAGTTCCTGATGCTCGTTAACTTCTTTAACAACAAAGAACTATCCATTTTATATAAGATCTCAGTAATGCCCTAGGAAATTGAGGATAATTATATCAAATTATGAGTTTCTTCCTCCTTTCAAGCATGAAGAGGTTGGTTGCTTCCTCTGTACAAAAGTGAAATAGATTATGTTACTAAATGTCCATGTGTAAATGAGGTACGTGTGAGAATCATTAGAAACCACATGGAATTTATCATCTAAAATCATCATATACATTGGTCTTACAAGAAAGCTAAAAACATTTTAGGCA